GATTATCTTATCTGGGAAATATTTCTTGTTCCTTTCTGCACACACACAAACACATTGATATGAACAAAAACTTTTTATTGTACCACTGTCTTGCTTCCAGATGTAAATTTGGGCCTACTGATCTTTCTCTTTTGACATGAAACAGCTGCTGAACAGAGAGCTTCCATGCTCTTCCAAAGTTAATGGATTGTGAGAGAATGAAAAAAAAAAAAAAGTATTTTCTGTATGTTGTACTTAATTTACAAGAAAAACATGACAAAACTACCACATATGAGAAACCAAATGTCAGGAAGAGAAAATATACAAGTGAAAGTGATCAGGAGTTCATTTAAACAAAATTCTAATATTGGAACAATTATTTTAAAAATGAAAAATCTGGAAGAAAAATAAACAATTGCACTGTAAGAAAATAAGTATCTCAAGTGGACAAATGACATTTTAGATAGTGGGCCATCAGTATTTCTTTCTGCAAAGCTCAAGCAGTAAGTGTGAACATAGTGCAAACAAGAATCTGCTTGTATTAGAACTAAATTATGAAAGTTTAAGCACTGAAACTGGAGGAACATGGAGGGTTCAAGGTTTCACCCTCTTCACTTCTGGCACTTTCAGTAACAAGACATTCCTCAGGTTATGAGTTGATACATATCTTCCCCAGCAGGTATTTTTCATTATCTAAATGTGAGTGATTTAGAGAAGAAAAGAAATTTTCCCACAAACTACTGCTGTTCCTATGGCCCTTCCAAGTTCTTTTGATGACACTGTCATCCATACATACATGTAGAGCCATACATCTAGTGCTTTTTTATGGGCTGTGTTCACTGATTACCTTAGAACCATCTCAAATGGAAATATAAAGTAAGTAAGGCTCCCTCTCTACATAGAAATCTTGAACTGATAAAGGATTTTAATGCTTCTACTGAAGAAAGAAAAATAAAACATTAGATGAATTCTCATTATTGTTTTTCATGTAAATAGTTTTTGTTGGTCATGGTTCCTTTCTCCTCTTCTTCTTCCTCTTCCTCTTTTTCCTTTTCCTTTTTTCCTTCTCTTTCTCCTCCTCCTCCTCATCCTCCTCCTCCTTCTCCTTTTTAATACGCTGAGTGGAAAAATCATGCAGTTTACTCATTTCATGCCTATATCCTTCAGTCTATCCATTCTAGAAGATGACGCTCTGACAATCTCAGATATTTGCCAGGAAAAAAAAAAGGGTTGCAATAAAGAAGCATAAATATACAGCATATCTTCTCTTTTCCACTGCCTAGCCTTGGGGTTTGAAACTCCAGGAATTTAGAAATATAGAATGCCTGGTATGAAAAGGGCAAGTTATGAGAATACAGGTATGGTGTCTTAGATGTGCCCAGTACAGGACTGAACTGCCACTACTAAGAAGAAAAGTTGCTTCCATCTCCTTAAAAAGGTAAGGTCCACATCTTATTATTGGCACTGACACCCAGTTGCACTTCCTGAAGGGTAGGACTGTCCTATACGCTGGTGTCAGGGTGAAATGTGCAGAGAGTTCCCCTTCCTTGTTTAAATCTGCAGAGTCACACATCTCTAAGGGTGAAACTGGTGTTATAAATGACGATACAACTCACTCTGAATTTAGTAATATCTATAAAAGAATATTTATAAAAAGTATAAAAAGCAAGTAAACAGCGCTGGGTGTGCAGGGAGTCTACACTCCACCAACATGCACACACAAACATCAAACATTCTAAATATACAGAACATTGCTTTTACATACTAAACCCGAGTATGCCTATGCAACCACAAAAGGTAACAAACAATCTTTTAAGTTCCGTGACTTAACAGTCTCCATTTTCCATTCCTTTTGAACAATATGTCTTGCTTTAAGTTGTCAAGCAACTCAGCCTTCACGCCTTACGTATCCCGTTCTTTCCAGATCGAAGAAAAGCATATCCATCTCCTTTTCAAGGTCAATAGAGGTCAAAAGGCACGTTCAGGTCAACAGGGGGCGTAACAGCAAAAGACTTCGATGGCTGTAGCAGCAGAGGGGCCCATGGCGTAGCAGTCGGATCAGTAAAGGAGCCTGCAGCTCCCTCACTGTCTGGCAAACCACCCCACGTCTCTTTAAGGCCTCAGAAATTGCTCGCCAGGTGCCGAGCAATCCCACTGCAACCTTGTCGTTTTTAGTTGCATAGTCCCACACCTTGACCTCAGTTTGGTCCCATATTTCAGGATCATGAACTGCCTGATTGTTAATAAGGAGAATAAGCTGTAAGGTTACCAGGACAGTCTTTGTTTCCATTCCCCATAATGCGCAGCTGCTTGCCAGCGAGGGGCAGCTCTGTGCACGGGTCCACTTCTCTCGGCTTGAGCTTCTTTCCAGCTCCGGTGTGCCTATTTCCAGTGACTTTCTGTACGAGCTTCTTTGAGCAGTTTGCTGAGTTTGGCCGAACCTATCTCCATGAGGCAATCAGTGTGCCTGTTCCCGTCCTGGTCTCTGTTCTGCTAGCCTGTTCCTTTTCATTCCTTCTTTCTGCTTCTTTACTGATGACATAACTTCATCACATCGTGTTGCCTTTTTTTTTTTTTTTTTTTTTTTTTATCTTGAGGGCAGGCTCCTCTCTTATACCCTTCTCCCCACAGAAGTCCTTTTCAAAAACAACTTTTCATTGGTCATACAACTTTGCAAATAACAGCAACGGCAAACACCCAGAAATTTCCATGCCTTAAGGGCTGGAGAACAAGAAACCTGAGACTGCATGGAGTCTCTTGAATCACCCTTCTTTGTTCCCTCTAAACTCTTTTACATTCCTGATGGCCTCATCGTTAAGAGTCTGATGTTATCATCAACCACGGGGCTTTCCAACCCCCATGGCCACACTCCCACATCTCCCCCTTCTTTATTAATACCAACCATTTTCTCGACACGAGTCACCACTCCGTATATAACAACGGTATATTGGGACCTGCTAGCAACAGCTTGCTAAGTATTTACTAGGGCAGTATTCCCCCTCTTATCTTTTTTCTGAATGCGATAGTTGCATTAAGAGCATAAGTTATATAGTTTCTTACTGTATACTTGATGAGATTTCCTGTTTTCAGGTCTCTTCCCCAAGGATCTTTCACATTAAAATGAGACCATATCACTTTTTCTCCATTTACCTCAAAAATATCTTTCTAATGCCAGAGAATGAATTCACCTCCCCAGAGGACGTATTCAAGTTCAAAGTCTTTGATGAACTCTACATAGAAGCAATATGTGAGCCACAACATCCTTACAGGTTATGTGAAATACCGTGTCATGCAGAAAAGGATAACTCCTGAGTTTATGTTTTTAAAAAGACTTCAGCACAACAGAGAACTCAGAAGTATTATAATTAAGCAGTTCAGTTGCAAAATAATGGAGTTCAAGAAGACTATCCACACTGTAGTCAAAGTAAAGACCTATTATGCATGTAAATTATAAATGTACTCACCAGGACAACATTGGCTTGCATTAAGCCTGAATATAAATGCAACAAACGGTAGGATGAACATATTTTGTAACACTGTGATGGCATAACCAGACACAATTTTTTATAGGTATATGAGCAATCTGATTACCAAAGAGACAAACAAAGACAGTAGGAGGCACCCGAGCAACAAAAACTTAGCAGAGAGCAGACAAGATTAGCACAAGTGACTGCAAATAAGCAGGCCACTGCAAACCAAAGAAAAAAGATTGGCAAGAAATAGAAAAAGAGACAAACAGTGTTGGTGGGGTGACAGTGGTATGAAAGCATGAGTCATAAACAAGGAAAAATAGATGAAAAGACAGCTCATTTTCTGGTCTTGAATTCACAAGCCTGACAACCTTGACTTTGGCAACTGAGAACTACTGAAGCCCATAACCAACTATGCCAACTGTGCAGCATCATCTCTGGGGTATTGTACACTTACAGCTAATTTTAAGTTGGTGGTTAAAGACCAAGTTTTTTTGTATGTAGCGATGATGATTAACATAACAGTAAGATTTAATCACTGGAAAGAAATGTGTTTTTAATGAATAAATTCAATAATGCTTTGTTTACAGTTTACAAATCCAACCTGATTTGTGAGTCTTCTACATAATCCCTTTACAGTAATCTTTGATTCTCTGACATAGATAATTTTAGTGGCAGCATCTTAGTCACTAGAAGTGGTCTTTGCAAATATTACAGTCAGCTCAATGGCAGATGGGCTAAACCCCAAGAAGAGGAAACTGCTTCTGGATAGGTGAGATGGAGTTTACGCCTTTGCCACATGAGCAGACAGTGAAAATCTTAAGAGAAGACAGTTCTATGATATCTTCTATTGGAGATGCACCTTGCTTAGAGCTAGGATGGTACCTCTTTGAAACTGTTTTTAGTGTGGAAGCACTTGGAGAAAATGTAACTAGAGGAATTATCATAAAACAACACCATTCAGACAAATCCTTTAGGGAATTTGTTTTGAGTGGCAAAGAGAATAGAAAATGAGAATGCACTTTGACAACAACCAGCATGAATGAGGCCACTTGCACGGTAGTCTGTTACTGAACAAGAACAAGAAGTCAAATTGGGCCTCAGTCAATAACATCTTCTGAAGATGAATGCTTGTTTAATGGGGACAAACATGTATTTTCTTGAGTTTACCTCACACTTTCCATGGTGTTACTCAGAAAAACTATAGTACTAAATGTAGTCCTTCCTTACTATCAGGAAAATAAATGCAAATGTGTTATTGTTACCATGCAAATTAAATAATTCTATTCACTCAAAATGAAAGATGGTACAAAAAGAATGACTACTCACTTTAAAAGTTTCCTGCCTCCCAGCATTACTATTGAAAGCCATTTATTAAGTCATCATTTACTCCTGAGACTACTGTGTCTTCCTAGCAGCCCCATTCTCCCATAAATGACAAATCTTTACTATACTGATCGTTTATTATGTTCCAAGACCTGATCACAACTGCATGTATATTTACTAAGCATTCTCTGCTTTAAATTATTTAATGTACGATATCAATCCTACCTAACATTGTCATGCCTTTGAATGTAAATCTTGTGGAAAATCCTTTCAGGAGGCTTCAAGAAATCTTCCTTCATTTCCATTGCAACATTCCTGGGCAAAAGACTCATCAAGAGACGTTCCTGAAAAAAATGTAAACAACATCAGTTTTGTGCTATAGTATGTTGTCTATTACTAAACTTTTTTTAAACTAGGAAACTAGACAACTTATTCCTACTTGAGTCTGCTTCCTGAGAACCTTCTCTAAATAAATAGTATAAACCATTTTTTTCAGACTTCTGCAGACTGTGCATTCTTTTTAAATATTCTGCACAAAATAAATAAATCAGTAGACAAACAAGCTACACAGAAATGGAAGAGACAGCAAAAACTGATAATTTTCCAAAATTTTCATTAACATCGCAATGTTAATAGTAGCAACTTTCTTTATCTCTAGTAGCTTTTATCTATCTGAGAAAGAATTTCCAGGATCATTTGTGTGTCCTACTTCTGAATCTAATAAAAATGTTATATTACAAGTACTATGACAGCTGGTTATTAAGCAGAGAGAATGGATGACAGAACTATCCACACAGTATGAATCAGCATAACCATAATAAAGGCGCAGTTTTAATGGCATCTTATTGAGTCTGGCAATGTCTGTTCCGGCCATCTTGTTAACAGAACACATTGGTGCAAACCCCTATTAAAACACATCTCTGCTTGCTATATCCACATAGATATTTTAGCATGTGTCACTGACCTGCATAGAAAGGACCTCTAATATTTTGGATCTCATCAGTATTGACTATAAATGCCTATGTAGTTATTCCAAATATTCTGGCCCGTATTCAGGGACCTGTAGAACCTGCAGCAGGTGTTCTTAGGTGTTGTAAAGTGTATTTAGATACCTGTTGAATTTTTCTTTTCACACAGAAAACACAATTCAAAATGCAATAGATCTGTTTTTGTTTGTTTTGGTTTGGTTTTGGTTTGTTTTGTTTTTCCAGTGAGTAGTTACAAGTCTATGCATCAGGCCTGATAGTTTCAGTTCTGGAAACACACTGAAGGAATTCATATAACTGTATATATAACAGGAGCCACAGGAATGGCAACTGTGAGATATCACATCACGTAAGTGCAGAACTTGTTTGAACTGCATCATCCTGTTATTTGAATCACATGAAGTAAGGAGCAATAATCGACACTCAGAAGAGGGTATCTGCATGGGCAAATATGCTGTATTGCTCACATGCACACATTTTACCAGACAGAAACTCCAAATAACACACAAAGGGTTTTTAATTGTACAGTTTCATCTGAAATATGACGAATTGGTTATTTATGTCACTAAGAGATAAGATAAACTTTGCAGAACTGCCACAGTTCTTATTTTAGACTAATGATCCTTCCTGTATTTGTGGCAATGCATATGGACTTGAGGCTAGAGATTGTTAATTAAGCCTATTTCCTATTATTTTCACTTATATACCATGAATATTGCAGAATATGGTGAAATTAAATATTTGTGAATTTCAAGTTAACCAAATAGCCTTAGCAATAGATCTTGGTAAGAAATGGTAAATTACTACAATTTCAATGTTATTTTAATATAGCAGCCTCAAACTCAACAAGCAAGGAAAGACTCAGCCATAGCTGAGCTGTCCTTTCAGGCCAAGAAAGGAATCAGCAGTGTGGCTCTAAAGAATAGTCACTGCAGAACAGATGGGAAAAGATAAGAAACAAACTCACATTAAAAGGTATCAGAGCACTGAATACAAATGAAAGACAGCATCTAACTTTATTAAAAAAAAAAAAAAAAAAAAAAAAGCCTCTTTTATTTTGGGCAATATCTCATCTGTCAAGCAAAGTGGTATTGTCTTCCAGGTCATCATAAGGGATGATTACATCTCAGAGGTTTGGAAATGTAAAACTGACTTTGTGAATACCAAATACTGCTGTTGGAAGGCTTGGGAAATGGTTCTCATCTGGATCTCTATTCAGTAGGTCCTACCATCATTGACTGATTTTTCATTTGCTCCCATATGGCTGATCTGATTGAAAAAATGATCTGAACATCAGACCAAAAGGAAAACTAGATGTGCATGGCTGCATAGTGAATTGAATGGAACAAGTGACAGTACTGAAGCAAGGCCAGTTACACTTGTAGTGACATTCATGCCTGGGTGGCTGTCACCTCTGACGGAGATGGGTGGTGACAGAAAAAAAAAAAAAAAAAGAAAAAGCAAGAGTCAGACAGGGATCACTAATCAATTAGCAACAGCATTGACTAGAATAAACCAACACTCATGTGGCAGAACTTCTTTTTAGTAACAACTGAAGTTGTATTGGGGAAGCCTCAACATGTGGCATATTACAAAATACAGGGGCTAGTAGAGAGAAAAATGTATCCACATTTTCATCTTTCTCACTGATCTACGACACAGTTTAAGCTTTTAGCAGCTAGTTTCTAATCAGAAAATTAAATCTTAACACTGTGAACAACATCTGCTGTCTTAGGAATTTGTACTCTCTCTTCCTGCTATAAATCTTCACTCAGCATTAATATGATCTAAGGTGAAATCACATGATAAAAAATAATAATAATAATAATTTTTTATGAGATTGTAATTGTCTGAAAATGATTTTGCATTCCCTGCAGAAATCCCACTAAGAAAAGAAACTAACAGATTAGGACCTACATCCCCTTCATTCACAGTGTCTTTCATTACAATTTTATTTTAAACTGTCAGATGTAGCCTGGGATTTGTAATGCCAAACTGGTCTGCCTCTGTCAATTGTCCTATTCCTATTAATGAGGATTTCTGCACCACTAATGAAGACAGTTAAACTTGAATAGAACACAACTTTAAAAATATCCAGATTTCATTCTTCCACAGCAATGAAGAACTGTTGAAAATAAGAAGGAATAAATCCATTCCTTTGACTTCAAGTCAAGTCAAAATGTACATACTAAGCCAATCAGGAATTGTTCAGTGACACCTTGGCACAATTCAACAAGTAAAGAATATCCTGAGTTAGAAGACACCCACAAAGATCACTGAGTCCCACTCATGGCTACACACAGGACCACACAAAAATCAAACTATACATCTGAGAGCATTGTCAAATGCTTCTTGAACTCTGGTTGGTGCTGTGACCAGTTCCCTGGGCAGCTTGTTCCAGTGCCCAGTGACCATCTTGATGAAGAACCTTTTTCTAATATCCAATCTGAACCTCTCCTGATTCAGTTTCACACTGTTCCCCTATTGCTGGTCATGAGAGAGAAGAGATCAGCACCCTTAGTCTCTTCTTTTCTAATCAGAACAAATCAAGTGACCTCCTTACTCAAGTGATTAATCAAATCAAGTGATCCACTCCTTAAATGCCTTCCCCTCTAGACACTTCACCATCTTAGCAGCCCTCCTTTGGATACTCTGTAATAGTTTTATATCCTTCTTATATGGTGGCATACAAAACTGCACTTGAGGTGAAGCTGCACCAGTGCAGAGCAGTGTGGGGCAATCACCCCCCTCAATCAGCTAGCAGTGGTGTGCTTGATGCAACCCAGGATACAGTTGACCTTTTTGACTGCCAGGGAACACTGTTGAGTCATATACAATTTTCCATCAACCAGAACCCCCAGATCCCTTTCCATGGGGCTGTTCTCTAGCCTCTTCTCCTTGAGCTGGTACATAAATCCAGGATTGCCTCATGTCAGATACAGAATCCTACACTTGCTCTTGTTGAACTTCATATGATAGGTGAGCACCCAGCCCTCTAATTTGCTAGGCCTCTCTACCATCAGGGCATTCAACAGCTCCTCCTAATTTAATGTCATCTGCAAACTTACATTCAAGTCCTGCATCCAAACCACTTATTAAAACATTAAGGAGAAATGGCCCTAATGTGGGGACTTGCAAAATGCCACAAGTGATGGGCTGCCAACCTGATGCAACCCCATTTACTACAACTGTTTGTGTCCAACTCGTCAGCCAATTGTTCACCCATCATATTATGTTTTTAACTAGTAGTATGCTGGACATTTTGTCCAGACAGATACTGTAAGAAACTGTGAGAAACAATATCAAGAGCCTTGCTGAAATCCCCTCCCAAAAATCTTATCAACTGGCTTCCCTTGGTCAAGTAGGTAAGTAACCTTATTATAAAAGGAAATTAAGTTTATTAAACAAGACCTTCCCATCATGAACCCATGTTGGCTGTGACCAATGACTATGTTGTCCTTCAGGTGTTTTTTAGTAACTCCCAGAATAATCTTCTCCATAATTTTATCAGGCTCTGAAGTGAGATTGAAGTGCCTATAATTATTAAGGTCTTCCTTCTTGCCCTTCTCAGAAATTGGAACAATATTTGCCAGTTTCCAGTCAACTGGGACCTCTCCAGGTACCCAAGCCTGTTGAAAATTAATTGAGAGAGGTCTTGCATCAGCCAGCTTTTTGAGCATCCTGGGATGAATCCTATCAGGCCCCACAGACATATGCATCCAGCTGGAGCGGCAAACCCCACACAAGTTTGGAGTTGTTTAAAAGCCCTTTATAAAGGAGAGAAGGCGAGAGGGACAGAGGGAGGGAGGGAGGGAAAGAGGAAAGGAGGGCAGGCTGTATACTGCAGTACTGCATTCCTGTGATTTCTCTTCCCTGAGAGGACAAGTGTAAACAAGCAAGCAGACAGCAGGGAGAATGCTGAAGGAACAGTTTCCATCATCTGCAGGCTCTATTCTGTCCCAACACTTTCTTCAACTTTCTCCAATACAGAGAAGCCAAGGCATGCCTCTCAGCACAGTTCCCTCTCTCATCCCTGTCACTGTCCTGGATGATTTCTCCCACCCACACTCTGGCTCTACTTTTACTGGAGCCCCCAACATGTGTTCTTAATACATTTATTTCCCCTTTCTCCAAATGAAGAACATCCCACCTATTTTGAAAACCATCACCATTCTTATTTTACTCTTTCTTCCAAACACTTTTGACTTAATGTTGTTTTGAAAATTTCATCTGTATTTATAATCATTTTATTCAGCTTCCCAAGCAATACTATCCGGCCTAATACCACACTCCTTTCCTATTGCACAAAATTATTTATTTTGACATCTGTATGGGAAATGACTGATAGATTTTTCAAA